CAAAATACACTTTATGAATACTATATAACAACAGAGACTAGGAATGTAGTAGAACCAGAGAGGGCCAATCACAGCTGCTGAAAGGGCTACACCTGGTGGGTAACTGAATTGCATGGCAATGATTTATTCTTTCCTGATTGTGGTTCACCTGGTACTGGCAAGGCAATTGTGTCTGCTTTCTAAAAAGGGGAGAACATTATTGGGCATTATTGGGTTTTATGTGACCCTCGTCTAAGCACCTTTTTTTACCTTTGTATGTTATATAGGATTGCCCAAATTGTCTTAATGTGTAATAAAGAAGTTTTTAGAGGTTTTTTTTTCCAACTAAGAGTTTGATTAGTGTTTGATAATTAAATTTGAGCATTTGCTATTGAGGCTGAAATTCAATTGCAAGGCAGTGGCTGTACAAAATCATTGATACATGATGGGTGGCAAGTAACTGCTCTGCACCTGTTTTGTCATCTGTAAGGTGGAGATAGTGCCTACTTTGCAGGGTGGCTTAAGGACTAAATAATTGTTTGCAAAGCATCTAGCACAGTGCTCAAAATAGAACAGGGTCTAAATAAACGGTAGTTGGTTATTATTGACTGAAACAAATAAAAAAATGTCCTTTACACATGTTTAGAAGTAGCAAGGCAACCCAAAACTTATCCAACTTGCGGATTCTTTATGACCAACTTAGGGACCCTGAGGGAGAAGGTATCATAAAAGCACAAGATTAGATTGTGTTTCAGGTTTGTTGATTGTTAAAATGCTTTTGCTTGATTCAGTTTTTTTGTTGTTGTTCAAAGGGTTGAATTTAAGTAAGAACAAAATAGCAAGTTCAAGGAAGAAAAACAGCAAGTTCAATTTAATTTGCATCTGAAGGGATTAATAACAGGTACAATTTGTGCCCTGTCACTGTCACCTACATTATGTTTTTTGACTTCCCACAATTATATAAAACCTAATTCACAAACCTTGCCATCTACAGGAATACAGACATTCACAGTTTGAATGGGTTTAAATGGGCTCCATTAGTAAAACAATTTGGCAAGAATCCTTGTCCCTTTGAATTAAAAATTAGGAAAACAGAAGAGAATTGTGTCATTTGTGGTAGAGAATATACTCAAATTTAATCATATTTGATGCCTTTCATTATTCAGCAAATAGTTTCTTTGTTTAGTTCCCCAAAAAGTAAATCTGCATTCTCTATTCTTCTTGCCAGCACAAAGGATTTAGCACCTGAAATAAAGCATTCTTATTTGCAAGTGATTTGTTTCATAGTTTCTTTTTAATTAAATAGAAGACTCCTATAGTCTTTCTTCCTACTCATAGAGGGAGCTTATTTTTTCCCCCCTATAAAGAAATGAGGAAATCCTTGTTCATGTATATACCGTATTTGCCGGCGTATAAGACGACTGGGCGTATAANCAAAGCTATAGAGAAATGACAAGACCAAGTAAAGCAGTTTTACGCTTCCAAGGGAAACAAACTGTGCGAAGGTAAATATATGGAGGAAAACCAATGGAGTAATGTTTGTTTGTAGACTCCCCTGGTGCTAAAAGTCTAGCGTCATCTCCAGTGAAGGAGAATTTATATCCCTCCTATATGCAGAAAAAGAGGGTAGAGAGAGCTTTTCCTATATTTGTTGTTTCTTAATAGCCTTCACCTCAAAATAATTTTTCTGTCTAAGAGGTATATTTGGGGTCACACAATCTGGTTTCCTTCAACTGTAACCTGTGTTTGTGGCTGAGTGGTTTTTATAGACTTCTTCCTGCCTGTAAAATTTGAGGGCTCCGAAGACCCCTTCTCATGTTGTACTGTCTCTGTGCCTTTCAGTGTCAGCTGACATGATACTTTCAAAAACCTTGAGGCTTTCGGCGTGTCGATATGTAATTCACTCTATTAGACAAAAGATGTACCCACAGTTCTTCATAAGATAAGCTCTCTTCTGCCGTGGCTTCTTTGTGTAATCGCTGTGGGACAAGACCCTTAAGACTTATATCTCATTGTTTAACAGAGAAGTTCTTCAAGATATACCCTTAAGACCTGTGAAAGGCCTTTTGTAATTTGCTGACCCTTATTTAGACCATGTTTTGTTTTGTTTTGTTTTTAAAGGAGGGTGCAGCTCACATGTGGGCCCATGTGGGGATCGACCCGGCAACCTTGGTGTTATCAGCACCACGCTCTAACCAGCTGAGCTAACAGGTCACCCCTTAGACCATGTTTTTTGAGCAGTGCTTGATATTGGATCTTTTCTCAGAAACTATTTCTTAATTTTAACATTGTTTGCCATCTGGAGAGACTGGAATGTGAAAAAAAAATTTTTTTTTTTTTTTTTTACAAATGCAGTGGGTTCTAGCTCCTATATATTTAAGAGTTGGTTCTTTAGTTTATCTCTCTTTCCTTACATCTTATACTAGGCAATGAGAAGGAACTAGGTGACACTTTTAATATTCTACCTTGATCTCCTTACCTAGGACTGGGGTTAGCAAAATACAGCTGATGGGCAGGTTGCCCATGTTTTGTAAGGGAAGTTTTATGGGAACCGCTCATGCTTATATGCTAGTTTTGAAGGTGGTTGCTTTAAGGCAATTATGGCAGGGTTGAGTAATTGTAGCAAGATGGTATGGCCCCAAAGCATAGACTGTGTACTATTTGCCCCTTTCCAGAATGGGGTTAGCACCTCCTGACCAAGGTTACTGAGTTCACTAGGTGCATCTTTTATTTTCCATGTTAGCTCAGATGACAATGTTGCCCGATTTCTGCCACTACATAACAAGGACCCCTTTCCTCCATCTTCCGCTTTCCCTCACTTTCCTTGCATCCTTCATTGACAATCTCCTCAAGGTCCTTAGGCCCCCGCTAACACTGTACTTAAGGACCTTCCTTTTTCTGCCTGCCACCTGTTCCCATAGGCAAAGCCACACATTTTGTTGAGGTCGCACCACACTTCAGTGTACTGACTATATTCTGGTTGTCTATGAACTATACAACAAATTCATTCTAAAACTTAGTAGCTTAAAACAAAAGGATCATTTTAGTATTTCCTCTCATAGTTGTGAGGGTAGAATGAACTCTGCTAGGTGGGCCCCACTTGGGACTTCATGGGGTTGCAGTTTGATGTTAGTTGGCGCTAAAGTCATTTGGAGGCGTTCTCACTCAAGCCACAATAGCTTCCCGTGGCTTCTCTAAGTGACCTGGGGTTCCTTGCAGCATGGCGGCTGGGTTCCAAGAGCAAACATCTCAACAAGAGGGTAAGAAAGAAGTGCGTGCCATTTTTATGACCTACTCTCAGAAGCCACATATCATTACTTCCCCCATGCTTTGTTGTTTGAGGCAGTTACAGAAGGTCACTCAGGTTCAAGGAGAAGAGACGTAGAAGCCTTCACTGGGTGGAAGGAGTGTCAATATGACAACGCAAGAATAACATGTAACGTTGGAGACACTGTGCTACACACACTGCCACTCATCCACAAGAAATGTCATATTTCTCTACTTTTCCAAGTCAAAATAAGTTGTTCTTGGTTTGCCTTGGTGCACCCTACTGACAAGTATGTTGGAAAGTTCATATCCACTCATATTCTTGGCCTCCCTTGGAGTTAAGCTGAAACTTTACACATACCAGACATTTTGAGTAAAGGTAAGCAAAAGGGAGGTGACAAAAAGGACTCTGGGCTTCTGTATAACCTGATGGATAGCTGAGAGGGAGAATATCGGAGGAGGAACAGGTTTATTTTATTTTGTGTTTGCATGTATGAGAAGAAAGAAGATTTTGATTTTTGACATCTTGGTGTTGAGGTGTTATCGAGACCTGTAACATGAGATGTCAAGTAGACCATTGGTTATAAGAGTGAAGAACCCAGAAATGTAGCCTGGGCTAGAGATATACATTTGTGAGTTGTCTGTGTAGGTGGTATTTAAAAACGTGGGAGTGAATGAGATTGCCAGATAAGGAACATTTTGAGATAAGAGGAGAAGGTCTAAATGGCCTGAAGAAACTTAATAATTAGTGAAGACCAGGTTTATAAAAGGGACTGTAACAGGACTGACTAGAGAAGGTGGAGGGGAGGATGACAGTGTGATGGCACCTAAAAAGACAGTTTCTAGAAGAAAGGCGTTCTCAGCAGTGTCAAAACTCCTGAAAAAAGACTAGAGAACTAAAAAATACCAGTTGCACTAACAACATGGGTGTCCTTTGTAGTCTTAATGAGTTAGTGCTTTTGCTTCTGAAGAAATGGGTTAAAAGGTGAGTGGGAGGTGATAAAATGGAAACAGTGTGAGGAAAAAAAAATTTAAAGCTGAGGCAGTATTTTGGGTTGGGGCTGGGAGAACTGAGAGGTTAGTTGGTAGTGTAAGGATTCCAAGAAGGTAGGAAGGAAGGTGGGCACAAGTAAAGGGCTTGTTTTCAATGTGAAGAGCCAGTCCTCTGTTGTAACAGGTGGGAAGAAAGAGAATGTGAGAGGTGCCAGCTTAAGTAGCTTTGTATGTTTGGCATGAAGGGCCTGACTTCTCTTTTCTCTTTAACAAAAGAGGGGTGATTAACTGTATCTCTGAAAGTTAGTAATAATGGTGCCTTGTAAACTACTTGCTTTATATGTGGATGGATGCCTTAGCTCTCTAATTGTTTCACAGATTGGAGAGCTAAAGCTAGGTTGGAACAGAAACAATAGGTGCTTAATAGTCACATAGATGGGAACAAAAACAATAGGTGCTTAATAAATACTCGATTTATTTTGATTCCAATGATTCTGATGATGATGATGATGGTGATGATAAATCTGATGATGCCCTGATGTCAAGGAAAAGTATAATACATAAGCTCTAATCAGGCCCCTATTACAAGGCGCCTGACAAGTGTGAGGAATGAGAATGAGAGCTGGCCCATGGCAGTACAAGGGAAGGAAAGCCAGCATGCTCCTTCTTGTCCGGGACCCGAAGGGTTAAGACCAACGAGAGGTGGCCATCGGTGTTTTCTAGAGAGGCTCGGGGAAACCTAGTCGGGGAAGGTAGGGCAACTTCCGGTTTCTGGGTGGTTTGAGTTTAGGACCCTGGGTTGGTGGGGTCCGAAGGAGTGGGAGCTCCTTTCTCCGGGATAGCTGGGCCTGCTGGGAGTGCAGGGCGCCTTGTGTGTATCCCCCCGAACAGTGAGTTCTTTCTCGGGGAGGGGGGGGGAAGGGAGCAGAGGGCTGCGGGCAGGAGGACTGGAAACTGCACCGCCCGGGCTGCAACGTACCTGCCGGAGGGGGATCCCGCCTGCTGTGAGGGGCGAGAGCCCTGCCTCTCCAGCCGCCCAAGCCTCCTCACCTCCCTCGCTTGCGGGGTCTCTTAAAGAATCAAGTCAGCTGGAGACGATCTGGTCTCCTGGAACTTCACCCCGCAGGGCACCCCAACCTGTCTCCCCCGCCGACGGTTCTTAATCAGTGCATTCAAGCTCCATCCTAGTCCAGTTTGCGCTCTTCTCTGACAATGAACACTGGCCTTCTCTGTGGAGTGACACCTTAAGGGACAGCCTTTTAATACTATTTATGGCCTTGAATTTGTTGCCGTTTTATTGAGCCAAGTATACCTGAGGGCCCCACTCCTACCAAAATTAATAGTTTCTTAGCAGGGAAAATGCTGGCATGGTTATCTGCTTCCCAGGCTCTGGCTTCCTTTGTGAGGAGTTTGATAGAAATATGTAACTCGGAAAGCAAAACCTATTACTCCACTTGAACAACTTTCCTTTATTTTTTTCTATTCAGGTGCCTGGTTTTTCCCCCTCAAACACGGGCTATTTATAATTGAGACTAGTTTCATCTTTTCTTAACAACAGATCCCTAATTGCTGAGGGTGCTTAGGGAATCCCAGCTCCCTTTGGTATAAGGTCTAAGGGTGTAAATCTCTGTTCTACAAATCCAGTCAATATATTGCAAAATAAAGGCCCTTTTTGGGGATCGTTTGCAGTTTGGAGTTATGCCTAGCTCTGCCTCCTGCTCTAGTTTACTGTTAGAAATGACAGTGTGAGGCAGTGTTCAAACCGACTTGGGACTGAATCCTGTTCTACCACTTTCAGATTGTGTCGCCCTGGGAAAGTTTCTTAATGTCTTTTTATCTCATTTGTAAAGTGCTGGTAATTGTTAATATACCTCAGAGGGCTATTGTGATAATTAAATGAGAAATACTGTGTGTAAATTATTTAGATCACTGCCTGGCACATACATAATAGGCAATAACGGTCAAAATTAGAACTATACCATTTTTTTTTCATGTGTATGCCTTTGTGAATTCTTTTAGGCTCTCATTTTTCCTGAATTACGCTGTTCATTTATATATGAAATGGATGCTATGTTCATATATAACTGCCTTCTAGTGATAGATCACATTTCCCAGTCCCTTAAAGTAGGTCAAGGATTGTATTTCGCTCTGGAAGATAAAGTTTAGGTTGAATTGGATATTGTGATTATGATAGACCTAGAGGCAAGGAAGAGGTCCCTTGTTAGGGGGTTATTGTTTATAATTATTTAGGGGTTATTGTTTATAATTATTCTAGCCTGCTTTGTCCTAATCTCTTGTTACTGGTTATATAAATCCTAACTCTCTTTTGAAATTGACTTCAAAGGTTTCATCCTTTTGTCAAGGACCAAGTTATTCTTTCTAAACAGGATGCTTTTTCTTTAGCTGCTTCTCATACCTGCATATCGATTCCTTGAAGTCTTATTATTGGTGACTTTTCCAAAAAACTAGTTAGCTTTTCAATTAAAGGTGTTTCTAACCTCTGAGTGGAAAATGAGTATTAGTATTTATTCTATTTTTGAAGCTTGATCCTCAGACTTTAATGTGAAGATTTAATTTTTAAAATTATTTCCTTGAAAAGGTAAATCGGATTAATCCTTAATTCTAAACACTTGTATCTGAGAAAAGATTTTCTTAAAGGGCTTCTAAAGACCATGTTTCTTATTTTCAGTATTATTAACAGAACATTCTGTGCCTACAATTGTTATGTTACAATGGTTGGGAAGGAAGAAGAAGAATACATTTTACCAAATGCCTCCAAATATGATCTGATTCCTTCCACAGGATTTCTGATCCCTAACCTGGCTGTGAGCGTTGTGATGGAGCAAGAGAAAAAACTGTTGGTCTCAGATTCTAATGGTTGCACAGAGAAGGAGAGTCTGAAAAGCCCTTTCACAGGTGAGGGATGAAGAAGATGATCTGAATACTTTGAATTCATTATAAGATGTGCTATAGAGATGTAGAAAGAATGGGGCATTTGAATGAAACAAACTTTAATTTGATTCCCTGCTCTGTAACTTATACGTTTTATTAACTCTTACAGCCTCAGTCTTCTCATCTTTAAGAAAAAAAAAAGGAATGATAATATCTGTCTCATATATATATATATATATATATATATATTTTTTTTTTTTAAGATTTTATTGGGGAATTGGGGGAGGGGAACAGACAAGTTGCTGTCCTTTTGTTCTTCAGTCTAATTGTGGAGGACGTCGCTTCACTGGCCCATGTTGGTATTATCATTGCGCTCTTCCTGGGTGAGGCAGATTGGTCACCAGCCACTGGACGGCTGCTCACGGTGGCTTTTGGCAGCTCACACCAGCTGCCGGCTGCTCATGGTAGCTTATGAGAGCCCACTGCAGCCCCACTGCAGCCTATGCCATTGACAGCAACTCACGGCAGCCCCACTCCAGGTCGAACTGGTGTTCACCATCTTAGCTGTAGAGGGCGCACAGTCACTGGCCCTCATGTGGGATCTGAACCGGGGCCCTGCTTCTCAGAGCTGGTGTCCCAAGCCAACTCTTAACCAACGCACCACTTGTCTGGCTCTCATATATTTTTTTTTAATTAATGAGATACCATATGCCAAGCTACTGTTCTTAATAAATAGGGGCTATCATTAGTTCTATATATGCTCAGATTTTAACTCAGGTATTGTCTTTCACCTCAGATGGTGTGCTATTCGGTATCTCCCTACTCAGATCCCCTTTTTTCTTTTATGTTTTCTAGAACAGTTAGTGAACTTGTTTTTAGATTGCTATCCTCCTTGGCAGTTGCTGACAACGGTTCAAATAGTTGCCCCAGATACAACACAACATGTGTTTGAACTGTGTGGGTCTACTTATACATGAATTTTTTTCAATAAATACTATAAATGTGTTTTCTCTTCCTTATGATTTCTGTAATAGCATTTTCTTTTCTCTAGCTTACTTTATTATAAAAACACAATATATAATACATATAGCATATAAAATGTGTGTTAATTGACTGTTTATGTATGTTTGGTAAGGTTTCTGGTCAACAGTAGGCTAGTAGTTAAGTTTTGTAGGAATCAAAGTTATGTGTGGATTTTTGACTGTGCAGGGGGGTTGGCACCCCTAACCCCTGTGTTGTTCAAGGTTAACTGTGCTTGATTAGTGTTGTTGCTTAAGTACAGAAAATTCACCTGCTTCTGATGAACACAGAGTAAAAGAAGTAAAGCTAGCTTTAAAACCTTTTTTTATGAAATAATTTATGAGGTTTTACTTTGTTATTCTCCTTCTTCCACTGCAATTCAGAAATTCCTTCCCCTGGCAGAGATTAGGGAATATGTTTAGAATATTTGTTTATCCTTGCAGGAAATGAAGGGAATAATTTGGAAACTGTTCAACACAATAAGGCAAATAAACTGAAAGACAGAGCCTCATCAGAATGGTTTAAAAGAGATGGCCCACAAAATTGTAAACATGAGGATACACAAGAAATGCCGCTGATGTGGTCCCAAGGAGATGAGATGTGGTGTGATGATTTCTATGAGGATGATGGCAAATCAGAGAATCAGGGAAGCTCTACAGAAAAAGAGGGAGAAAAACCCAATCACTGGGGATGGGACCCAGGAGACCACGTGAATGGCACTGTCCAGCAGAAGTCATCCTTCAGAGACAAGCCCTACAAATGTTCCGAATGTTGGAAAAGCTTCAGTAATAGTTCTCATTTGCGTACTCACCAGAGGACCCACTCAGGAGAGAAACCTTATAAATGCTCTGAGTGTGGGAAATGCTTTAGTAACAGCTCTCACTTGATTCAGCATCTGAGAACACACACGGGAGAGAAGCCGTACCAGTGTGGTGAATGTGAGAAAAGCTTCAGCAATACCTCCCATCTTACTATCCACGAGAGGACTCACACGGGAGAGAAACCCTATAAATGTCCTGAGTGTGGGAAGAGTTTCAGCAGCAGCTCTCACCTTATTCAGCACCACCGATCGCACACAGGTGAAAAACCATATGAATGTCCTGTTTGTGGGAAATGCTTCAGCCACAGTTACGTCCTCATAGAACATCAGAGGACTCACACTGGAGAAAAACCTTATAAATGCCCTGATTGTGGGAAGGGCTTTAGTCAGAGTTCCAGCCTGATTCGCCATCAGCGCACACACACTGGTGAGAAGCCCTACAAATGCCTTGAGTGTGGGAAATGCTTTGGTTGTAATTCTACTCTGATCAAGCATCAGAGAATACATACAGGAGAAAAACCCTACCAGTGTGCAGAATGTGGGAAGAATTTCAGTCGAAGCTCAAACCTCATTACACACCGGAAAACGCACACAGGAGAAAGACCTTATGAAAGCTCTGAATGTGAAGAAAGTTTGAGTCAGAACTGCCATGTGATGGAAGAATGCAGAATCCAACCAGGAGAGAAACCATATAAATGCTGTGAGTGTGGAAAGAGTTTTGGCCTCAGCTCCCATCTCATTAGACATCAGAGGACACATACAGGAGAAAAACCTTACAGATGTCCTGAGTGCTGGAAAACTTTTAGTCAGAGCTCCACCCTGGTGATTCACCAAAGGACACACACGGGAGAGAAACCTTATAAATGTCCTGACTGTGGTGAGAGCTTCAGTCAGAGCTTTAACCTTATCAGGCACCGGAGGACCCACATAGGAGAAAAACCTTACAAATGTACCGACTGTGAGAAATGCTTCAGCCGAAGTGCCTACCTCAGTCAGCATCGGAAAATTCACATAAAAAAGTCTCTTAAGCCTCCAGAAGTTGAAGGTTTTCCTCATGAGTGGACTTGGAAAAACAGTTCAGGGGAAATGGCCCTCGTTTCTTCATTTTCAGTCCTAAATTCATCTTCCTTTTGAGCCCCAAAGCCTGTTTTTTGTTTTTCTTTTCTTTTGTTATTGGACCATTACAATTAAGGTATTCTCTGATCATTGTGCTCCTTTCTTTGGTTTTGTTGTCAAAACACCTAGAAAATGTCACCCTCTCAGTTTAAAGGATGGGAAGACCCAGATTACCAGGTAGTTGAATCTGCCCATTGAGAGTTACTGCCAAGGATGGAGAAAAGGTAGTTTAGTTGTTTTTGATTTAAGGTAAAATAGGAAGAGCTTCAAAGGAAAATGTAAAGAGTGATTCTGGGAGTTCATAAAAGGACACCCTGAGAGCTTGAAGCTGAGAGTGATATTGAATTGTCTTATTTTCTCTCGCCTGATTGGGTGGCAAAAAAATCATTACTGGCCTCAGGGAATTAATCAGAAAAAGATTCTTTTTGCACAAATAATTTCCTGGTCTTTTTGCTGGGTCTTAAAGGGAAGAAAAGATTCTTTTTTTTTTTTTTCCAAATGCATTTTAAATTGCTGGAGATTAACTTCTGTAGTATGTAGAAATGCAGTGTCCAATACAATTGCCACTAGCCACATGTGGCTATTTAAACTTAAATTTATATTGAGATTAAATGAAATTTAAAATCCAGTACCTTAGTCACACTAGCCCCTTGCTTTGTGCACAGTATCAGCCCCGTGTGACTGGTTGCTGCTGTACTAAATATCACAAGAAGTTCTTTATTTCAAGATCATCATTGTCAGATTCATAGATATTTCCTGTAAGACTCATAAGTATTTCCTATTAATGTGCTCTAGGATTTCTGCTCTCCAAGAGGGATTGCAGTAGAGGATAGAAATGTGTTTGAGTTTTGAAGGCACTGGGTGTAGAGATTGGCTATTTTAATGACTATGTTTTAATTTATGTTTGACCATCTGTTATCTAGTGGTCTGATCCCATTGTCTTGGACAAAGCCAGATTAGGAAGGATACTTGAATTCTGTTTTAAAATTTTTGACAAATAGTCTTTACCCTTCCGTTTTCCCTTTTCATAATCCTTCGTCAGATCAGAAACTGGGTTCTCAGACCCACTGAGTCTGAGGCAGTGTCCAGGGACAGTCTGCCACTGGAGACCAAGATCCTTAATGGCAATCTCGGCAGTTTTCTTTTGCCTTCTTGACTTACGTGGCACACGGACCTGATAACAGACCTCAGCGTCCCTGCCCATCTGTGCAATGGGAACGATGCTTTGTAAAGTATTAAGACATTTCCTATTCCCCTAGTCACACNAAGTGCTGTCTTTTCCACATATTTAACACGGGTTCACTGCAGGAATTACAGTTTTTTAATATTAATATTTCACAAGTCAATAGCATGTAGGATAATATCTCTTAATAATCATAGGGTTTATAGGGGTACCAGGAGGAGGAGAGAGAAAGCAAGGGATTAAGAACCTATTTGAAGAAATAACGACTGAAAACTTCCTAACCTGGCAAAGGAAATAGGCATACAAGCACAGAAAGCAGAGAGAGTCTCAAACAAGATGAACCCAAACAGGCTCACACCACGACACATTATAATTAAAATGGCAAATGTTAAAGACAAAGACAGAATCCTAAAAGCAGCAAGAGAAAGGCAGCTAGTAACTTATAAAGGAGTTCCCCTAAGATTATCAGCTGATATCTGAACAGAAACTTTGCAGGCCAGAAGGGATTGGCACAAACTATTCAACGTGATGAAAAGCAAGGATCTACAAGCAAGTCTACTCTATCCAGTAAGGCTATCATTTAAAATTGAAGGACAGATAAAGAGCTTCCCAGACAAGGAAAAGCTAAAGGAGTTCATCACCACCAAATCAGTATTACAAGGAATGTTAAAGGGACTTCTTTAATATGAAAAAAAAAAGATAAAAAATATAATAAAATAGCAATAGTTAAATATCTATCAACATTAGTTTCAACGTAAATGGAGTAAATGCTTCAATCAAAAACATAGGGTGGCTGAATGGATAAGAAAAAAAAGCCCTTACATATGTCTTACAAGAGACTTACTTCAAATTGAAAAACACACAGACTGAAAGGGCTAGAAAAAGATATTTCATGAAAATGGAAATGGAGAAAAACAAAAAAAGCTGGGATAGCAAGACTTATACCAGACAAAATAGACTTTAAAATAAAGGCTGTAACAAGAGACAAAGAAGAACCCAGTAATCCCACTTCTGAGTATTTGTCTGAAGAGACCAAAAATGCTACTACTTCCAGGAGATGCGTGTATCCATATGTTCATTGCAGCATTGTTTACAATGGCCAACATGTGGAGGCAGCCTGGGTGTCCATCGATGGAACAATGGATAAATAGGAGGTGATATATATAATGGAATATTGATTGGCCAGGGAAGGGAATGGGTCCTTGCCATCTGCGAGGGCATGAATGGACCTGGAGGGTACTTTGCGGAGTGGAGCATTATCAGACAGAGAAAAGACAGTTGCAATGTGGTTTTACTTATATGTGGAATCTAAAGAACAAAATAAACTAACAAACAAAACAGAAACACACACACACACACACACACACACACACACACACACAAGGGAAGCTATGCTAGGATGTTGTCATTAATACCTGTTGTTGATAAGCACTGCTGATTGGCACTGCTGGAGACATTGATAAGAACGCGAGAAACAATTATGATACTTTAAAAAAATGGTGTAAAACAATATACATTTATTATCATACAGTTCTAGATGTTAGAAGTCCCAAATGGGCCTCATTAGGTTACCATCAAGGTGTCAATAGAGCTGATTCTTCTGGAGACTGCATATGGGAGAGGCTTTTCCAGCTTGGAGAGACCTCCTACATTCCTTGGCTCCTGGCTCTCTTCCTCTAATTTCAAAACCAGCAATGTCAGGATGAACTTTTCTCATGGTCTCACTCTTCTGACTCCTCCCACTAATTAAGGACCTTTTTGATTAAAATGAGCAGCTCAGATACTCCAAATGAGACAGATGTTTAAACTTTCAAGTCCAAGAATTTATGAGGATTTACTGAGTGTTTGGTCTGGGCAAAGCTCCTCTTTGCTAATCTAAATAGCTCTGCAAAGATCTTGGGACACTTACTCCAGGCATCATGAGGCTGCCCTTGGTTAGTAATGGCAGTGGTGTTAAAACTGTGTAGCAGCCTCAGGAAGAGAAGAGAGATCTGTTCCTCTGCCTTGGTGAGGTTACGTCTTGTAGGCAGTGGTGCATAGCATGTAAAGAGCCCTGGAATGATAACCTTAGGAGTAGCCTGACTTGTCTGCCAACACTGGTGCCACCGCTTGCTAGCTATGTGCTCCAGGATTGAGGAACCTAAGCTGGCAGCTGATACCAAGCTTTTAGGTGGAACAACTGACTTTGCCTAAACAAGCTTGCAGAAAGGTATACCCACTAAATTTGGACTTTACTTCTTTCATCTTCCCTTTGCCTGGAACAATAGTGTAATTAATCTATCACTGGTTTCTAGAGCTATTTATCAGCTTATTAAGAGATTATTATCCTACATGCTATTGGCTTGTGAAATATTACTATTAAAAAACTGTAATTCCTGCAGTGAACCCGTGTTAAACTTGTGGAAAAGACAATCTCAATCTGAGGATAATTTGCCCCAAACGAAACACCTCCATACATTCCTCCCCACGTTTTTGCTCTGAGAGAATACGGGTAGGTGCATCAGTGTATCTTTAGTGCAGAGTTGCCTGACCATTTTGGGTAAAGGAAGGGAATTTCTGGCATATCCTCTCCTCGTTTCTTCTGGCAAACGCCTACCTACTCATTCTTACAGATTCACCTTGAAAGTCACGTTCTCCATGCAGCAGTTCTTTCTACCGCCCACACACCCTAGGCACAGGAAAGAAAGGGTGTATCTGATTCATCTCTACGAGCATGCGCTCAGTAAATGATCGCAGAATGAATGGAAACATTCCGACCTCAGGCGGGGGATCTCCAGACAGGGATTTCCTCGGAACCAACTCCACCTCACCCCGGGCAGGACCTCAACTGCTGGAACTGCGGGGGGTAAACTTACGGAAGAACCCAGGACACAAACCCCTCGAGCCCCACCTCCTCAGGAGGCACCTGGAGTCCTCCCAACCGCCCACCAAATCAAGGTCTTCCCCATCCTCGCGGCCCCATCCCACATCACGCAACATCATCCCAGCGCCTATCCGGGCGTCACCGCGAGGGCCGAGCCGCCCGCGATTGGCCAAACGTGGCATAGCGCCATCTCGGCCTACCGTGCGAGCGCACCCTCATTGGCTGGCGGCGACGGTGGGCGGGGCCTGCGCGTAGGGCGCGCAGGGCGGGGCGAACTCGCTTTCTGGAGCCCCGCCCCCTGGTCTCTAGCTGGTACCGAGCGATCTTCAGCCGCCGAAGCGCGCGGGTCCAGGTGACAAGCGAATGGCGCGCGGCGGTTACTCTGGTTACTGCAGAAGCGCTGGCGAGGGATGCTGGTGAGGACGCCGTAGGGAGCCGCCGCCCTCGGAGAGGAGCTCTCTGGAGACTTCCGTTCACCTGCGGGGGAAGGAAGTCGCGGACTGGAAGGCTCGGAGGCAGGTGAATCGCGAGCTGCTGCCGAGGAGAAAGTCTCGAGGTAGGGGGCTGCGTTTCCCGGTCTTGGAGCCGCAGCCTTGAAACCAGGTCCATCTTTGGGGGAAGAAGGCAGCCCGGCAATTCCCCCCTTGACCGTGGGCAGCGTGGCTGGCGATCCCGCGGGTGGAGGACTCTGACTCCACGCCTACCCGGGCATCGCTGTCGGAAGAGGCGAGGCCGCATTTTTCTCAGCGCCAAGATATTTGATTTTTTTTTTTTGGGTCCCCGTCCTCTTCGGAAAGGACACCTGCAGCTGGTGAGAGAGAACAATTTTACCGTACGATGAGCCAACATCAGGACTAAAAACATAACCCGCAACAAACCCCAGGAAAAACCTATCTAAAAAAAAGAAAGAGAAATAGATTACCCGAAAGAGGAGAGTCTAATCGGGAGCTGTTGAAGCGGGCCATTTGTAAACCCTGCTTTCTAAGTCCTGTAGAACTTACCCCTTCAGACACTTGTATACTACTAACTTTGTATGCTTTTCTAAGTTGGTCTGATTTGCATTGTAATTCTGTGACGGTGTTGACTGGAGTTGGGCCGGTTCCCCGTGCTCTTTTTAGGAACACGTTTTGGGGAGAACGTCTGATCACCGCAACCCCACCAGGAAAATAAAAGGATCTCACCATCGACCGGTGCCACCAAAGGAGCCTTTGAGTCATGTGGACTTTCCTTGGCCTCGCCACTTTCACCTATTTTTACAAGAAGTGTGGGGACTTCATCACTTTAGCCAACAAGGAGCTCTTGTTGTGCGTGCTGGTGTTCCTGTCGCTGGGCCTGGTGCTCTCCTACCGCTGTCGCTTCCGAAGTGGGGCCCTCCTGGGGCGCCAGCCCCAGCTCATGGTCTTCTCGGATATGCTGTCAGCCTTGCCTTTCATTGGCTTCTTCTGGGCCAAACCCCCGCCTGGAACAGAAAANGGCAAATACGGTACTCAGAAATGCAGCAGGGAACTCACTCCCTAACTCCCTAACTATAACGTACCATAAGTCTGTGTAATAGGACTTGAGGTAAAGATTTACTCCCATCATTCCAAGTCATCCAAGTTGGATCTACCAAATGGGCCTTCTCCTCAGTGCTGTAGAGTTTCCTCATCGATGGAAGAGGTAGTGGATGGTGAGAGGTAGTGGATGGTGAGAGGTAGTGGCGTATGGTACTGTGACTCTCACCCCTTATACATTCGTCCAGCATACTCATCTTCGCCAGTCCCTTCTTTTCTGAAATCATGGTAAAGACAAAACTGTCTTTGCTTTTTTATTCTGTATTTGAGTTTACGTAATTCCTTTCGACCAGTATATTCATTCATTCACCAAAATTCACCTGAAGCCTAATATGTGTTTAACAGAGGTCAAATGACAGAGGGAGGGACAAATGTAAGGACAGGCTAGTAGTAGGAAAATGCAGCTTTTCAGGTGACAACTTTTATCTTTGCCAACTCTTGAACTAACTATGCTGAACCCTCCATCTTCAAATTTAGTAATTTGATAATCCGATGAGCTAGAGATAACTATAGATTCAAGTGGGTTAGGTTTGCTCTGTGAAAACATAGGCTTGGTGAAGTCTGACATAGTACTTTGCACACAATGGTGTGCCATAGTTATTGAGTGGATGTCAGGTGCTTGCTTATCTGTTTTGTGCTAATGTCCAAGAGTATGCCCTTACCAGAATGTGTGTTCCTACTAGACTGTCAGCATCTTGAGTATAGAAAATGGATTCTATTTTTGTAACCCCAAAACCCCACACAAAGCCCAGCATGTGAAGTGTTCATTAGTTTTGGTTGAGGGGTCTTCACCAGTGGATGAAGTCTACTGGAATTGGCTGTATAGTCTCGGGGTCCCTCTAGGTCCCTTGAATACCATTACCTGTCCAGTTCCCAGAGGCTGGGCTGGCTTGGAAGTGAAAGTGGGCTGTCCTAGGAGGCTGGGGCCATCCTCACACTAACCCTAGAAGACCCTTAATATGCACCCTCTCGCTCCTGTTAGGAATCTATGGAGGTAAGTGTTTTTGATGAGGTGAGCAATAAAGTTTTGAGGGTTTTGATCTAATATTGTTTCTAATGTGTTACAAATAAAAAATATTAGTGAAAAAGGAATTGCTCAGTTTGGTACAAACAAAAGGGATAAAATGAAGAAAGGAAAGGTTGTATTCAATAAATGCTTACCATATACCAAGTGTTGAGTATACAACTATGAAGAAGACATGGTCCTTGCCATAAGGAGTTGAATCTTTTGAAAAGGTATATGTAAATTGATAATTATAATGCAAACTGGTAACTGCTTTGACAACGGGGCAGAGTTATGAAAATTTCAAAAGAAAGAGATAATCTGGGTCTTAAAGAATTGGATAGTTGGGGCTGGCCGAGTGGCTCAGTTAGTTAAGAATGCAAGCTCTGAGCAACAGGGTTGCCGGTTCGATTCCCACATGGGCCAGTGAGCTGCATCTGAGCTGAGCTGCCATCAGGTGACAGGATGGCTCAGCTGGTGAGAGCACGTGCTCCTAACAACAAGGTTGCCAGTTTGAGTCCCATATGGGATGGTGGGCTATGCCCACCACAATTAAGATTGTACACAGCACCTTGAGCTGAGCTGTCCTGAGCTGTCGACGGGCAGGCAGAT